TGAAAAGCACCGTGAGATACCCCTGGCAGCCTCACTGTAAAGTTGTTCGGACCCGCTCGTTTTATGCCAGCAAAGCAATATTCTGCCGCCTCCGCCTTACTAATCCTTTCCTTGCGTTATCCCATGCTAATAACATCTAACAGTGGAAAAAAACAAAAAACACCATGTAAAAACTGAAGGAAACAGCGGGTGAGTTCTGGTGGGTGGGACAACTAGGTGAGGTAGGTGAGGCGTCAGAACTGCCACTTATGAGAGCTACAGTGCCTTCCTTCTTTTCTGTGGAACGGGGAAACTGGGACAGTCTCAGAGATTGAGGAGCCGACTACTTGCACAGGGAAGGACGCCTACAAATTGCTTAACCGCGTTGATGGTATAAAGCGCTGGACTACAGACTTATATTGAACAGGTGCCAAAACTGCTAGTGCCAGTTTATCATCACCTCTAGTGGATCATCAATGTCCTCATACTGAGCAGATTGTGTGGACATGGAAGAATCAAGGCTTTCAGCATCGTTCACCGAACCTTCCTCTCCACTGAGATTCACAGGTGACACCGATGATGACGATGTGACCTGGACAGACTTCCTAGACAAGTGCCTAGGAAGATTTGTAAAATAAGAAATATAATACCTCCCAGACAAATTTCATCTCAGGTCCACACATAAAATCAAACGAAGACCAGACAATCTTCCCAATGCTGGAGACGTTTTGCAGACGAAGTTCAAGACGCCGTACAGCGGAATTGCCCTGAAAAGAAAGCATTGAACAACTATTCTACAAAATAGCACAGTTTCTGGGCCTCAGTGTGTACAGCCCATATCCTGGAATTGGAGTGGGCGTGGCTGCACACTGCATTTGAACGTGGTGGCGGTGCGCTTTGGTGAGATGATCTCGTGTGATACAGCCGTCATCCTGTCTTGTGCTGGACAAAGACATCATTGCAATAGTCATAAAACGCCAATATAGCATAAAAGCGCGGCCACCACCACGTTTAACTGTAAGTACGCAGCTACACCCTCTCCATCTAGGGGATAAGGAGTCTATGAGATGTTTGCGTGGTTTTCACAAGTGGACCCTTCCAATATTTTGTGCGACGTCTCGGGCCGGTCCCCAGGTCTCCAAAGCACCTACTCAACACTATTATCCACTCAATCAGCCATGGAAAGATGGCGAACGAGATTTTCTCAATATCTAAACGGTTAACAAGTTAAGTTAAAGATTATTCACGCACACGAATTATTCGAAGTAGTTGTACCCGTTTCAGCTAATAAGCAATGAGTAAAGTAGTGGAGACCCACATTTCATTTAGTGCGGTAATTCAATCTTATCACAGAAGAAACCACAAAAACAGTGCTGTACATCGGTAACGTACCTCATGTAGGGCATCGTAGGCGGAAAAGTAGAGCTCAGCCTCCATTAGGCACTTCTCAATCCGGCAATGAATTCATGGGACAGGTAAACAAATGTTGACGAATGTTGAGAAGTCACAGTCGCCCAGCTGTTTTTTATTGTCGTGGGAAATCAGGAGGAAAAGTGTGTGTGCAAATGAGACAGCAAACGGTTCCGCGAAACAGAAAACAGTCGCAATAACCTTCTTTTATGAATATTTGCAGGAACAATATTTTTGTTTTTCTGGGTATGGTTTTGTTTGTGTTGCAAATCGTGAAAGAAAACATACATTTTAGAATGCTGAGTTAATGGACACTCCGATAAATTACACCTCATTCAGGGCATCGTATGCGGGAAAGTGAAGCTCAACTCCATTAGGCAACTCTCATCCGGCAATGGTGAATTCATGGAACAGCGCAAACAATGTTTGCCGAATGTTGAAAGTCAGTAGGACCTACTAGCAGGGTCATGCTTTCGTATTAAACTATGACTTGTTATGACTGACCTGTTTAACTACTTTGGGAATTATTATGCCGACTCTTATACGGATTGTACAACCTATGGCGCCCTGTTTGCTGAATATATGGAAACTCGGTTTTTTGAAAGCATTCAGTTCCACAGAAATAGCGCTTTAGAAACATATCGGCGCATATTCTATATTCGCTGAAATTTACCATTCGTGAAAAGCAGTCGACGGTGCATGTTTTCTGAATGCTCAAACTCGATCATACGAACCAGGTTAGGGCGCTTAGTAATGGTGCTTTTTCAGTGATTCGGTCTAGTAAATTAAGATTGAAACTTCTGGATGAGTAGCTTTGACCATGAACATTTCGAATAGACAGTCTGTTATGTTTATGGTAGCCATTGGGGGAAGGATTGCCACAACAGTTCGCTGCTAAGATGGGTTGTTTGTTGCCGAAGGTGGGTCACCATTCATCAACCGCATTTCCATCCATGTAGCCTTTACCGCTGTGTTCGATGAAGGTCACTGATTTCCTTGAGTTGGTGAAAACGTGAGGAAAGAGGCATAGGGAGGAGGAGCAAAGTGGCCAATGATAAGCGCAACGTGTTGTGGGGAAAGATACGGAGACAGCTTACGGATGAGTCGCACTTGTTCACCCACGTCGGCTAGCCACCAATTTCACGTGATGGGGAAATCGAGAGTTCGTAAACAGGTTATCGACATCAGGGAAGGAAGCTGTCGTCGCTTGGGATCGTCTGATCCAGCTGTGCTTTTTCGTTCGAGTTTCAAAACTTCGGTCTACATAGGTCGCATTAGATAACCATAGGAGCCGGAGTACTTTTTGACAACCGTGAATCCAGTCGGTAATGGTCTGATTCAAGGGCCATTACCCGCCGAGTTGGCACTGATTTGTTCGATCGATCCACTTTTTGTTGGGGAGTGGACTTTTTGCCTGATTTTGATACCTGAACGAACTGCTGATACTGCTGCGAACTCGGTATTACGTTCATTACGAGCAAGAGAAACTCGCGCCGACATTGATTGGCGTGGGGGGGGTTGGGCGGGGAGGCATGAGCGACTTTAGAGCTGGTAGCACTTTGGTCTCAGGTCTTGAAGCTGAGTCTGCGTGAAGAGAATGGCGGATACATTGTTGAGGAAAAGTTTCAAATAAAGAGACAGACAAGACCGAGTAGTCCTACGTTCGGAGATGTTCTCACCCTACTCCGTAGTCGCCCTACACTTCAGGAATGCCCTCCCCCTACCCTCCAGCTACACTAGCCGCCCACTTGTACGCAGTAAAATTGCTTCTAAGTGGTCCCGGTTGTGTCCATTTGTTGACTCATTTTTATTGACTATTGCCTGTCTGACCTAACGTTTTTTGTCATATGAGACATAATATTTTCAGAATGTCAGTAGAGCAATGGGTTAGTGATGAACTTCATGCAATTGTGGGTATCAGTGACCGAACAATTTGTCAATACGTCCTCGCTCTTGCTCGAAGAAGTAATAGCACAGAAGACTTTATCGGCAAACTCAAAGACAATGATGCTCTCGAAATCAATGATAGCGTTCGGCGATTCGCCTCGCAGCTGATGAATAAGCTCCCGAAACCTGGTGCGTTTGAACATTCCTCATTTACGCCTACATACTTTAAACAAGGCTTGAGGGGTAGGCGTGTTGTGTTTTCACTAAAGGCAGTGGGCACGGTTGGAGGAGGCGGGCGGTTGTCGTCTTTGATGGAAGGGCTGGATGGGATGAGGCCAAACACCCGCTCGCAGCCCTTCCGCCAATGACGCTGGCAACAACGCCCCGCCTCCAGAAATCGTATCCGCTGCTTTTGAATGAAGGGGTTCTCAGTTAATTTTCAACGGATTACAAGAACAGGCGTGGCGTATCCGTGTTTTTTTTCTGCGCAGTGGGTTGAACAGCTTTTTTTCGATTTTCAGCTCCAAAAACAACAACGCGTAAAGGGCCTTCCGCTGCTGAACTCCGAGAGCGGGAACTAATGCGGCTGAGCAACACTATGACAGTGTTAGAGGAGGAGGACGAGCCAGTTCACACAAGGAAGTCCTCTCATCAACGGAAGCGACGTGAGAGCAGTAGTGACGATGAGGTAGTAGACGTTTATTCCAGACTTCACCCTTTTCAGTGAATTAATTTCCTATTGGGTTTTTTCAAACATTTAAGGATGTAGCTTCAAGTTCTTTCTGTATATACCATTTTCACCAAATTCACCACTTTTTAAAGCAAATTCACCACTTTTCAAACCAAATTCACCACTCTTTTTAGACCGGGCAGTTCACCCACCAGATCACGCCAGACACCACTGCGAACCCTGCCTCGACGGTCACGCCTACTTGTCAGCGCGGACATAGATTTTCAACACATGGCCGACTCCGCCCAGTCTTTAAAGGGTTTGTTGCGAACTTCGAAATTTCATAACTTTTTCAACTTTTTAATTTCACATCCACTCTTTGCACAGCGAAGATACTCGTAACCGCGCATTCATGTTACAGGCTTTTTTGCGAATTTCTGATATTTATCTCGAAATTTTTGATTTTTGAACTGCCCAACGACACCACGCCCACTGAAGAATGAGACTCCGCACCGTTTTGTTCACAAATGCGTCCGATCGGCAGTATGCAGCTTTGCGCTTTCGACACTGCTAGGCCTCGTCCCTCATCGGAACAAACTAATAGGCAAGTTTTGTTCGAGAGACGGGCGAGGCATCTTATAGCATGCAAGCCAGGCGCTCTATACTGCGAGCTGCGCATTTTTGCGAAACGAGCGGGTTCTTTAAGTGGGCGGAGCTTCTCTCAGGAGCACTCAAATGCAAAAATTTGAAAAATGTCAAAATTCCGCCCAAATAACGTGGGCTGGTAAAGGGCGGAGCCGAATATGCCGAAGCATGAATGCGCCGGTTACGAGTATCTTCGCTGTGCAACGAGTGGATGTGAAATTAAAAAGTTGAAAAAGTTATGAAATTTCGAAGTCCAGCAACAAACCTTCCAGGGCTCGCAGTGGTCTGCGATGATGTGTTGAGGTGAAACGCCGGGTCTAAAAAGAGGTTTTTCGTTTTGAAAAGTGGTGAATTTGCTTCAACTAGTGGTGAACTCCCTTTGAAAAGTGGTGAATTTGAAGTAAAGTATATTTCCTGCTAGTCGAAAGCAGATACGCAAATCCGCTTCTGGTCTAGATCATCAACTTTGTTTTCACAATTTGGTGCTGGATTTTGAAGCGAACGCTGCGTTGCGCGAGAAATCATCGGTTATATTAGTTTCGCGTGATAATAGGCGGATTTTACGCGACAGTCCGGATGGGCGAAGACTCGTAAGATACAGTGTCTATCACTAGATGCCACCTATTGTTCTCTACGAGAAAAGGGGCAACGAAAACTGATTGATCCAGTGAGGAAGGCGCAATGGGAGTGCGTCCAGTCCATCCACTTGTCGTGGAATACGTCTTTGAGGGGTCTGCATTCGGCTGAAAATATGTATGCTCGCGTAAAATAGCAAAAGGCTCGTGAAAAGCGTGAGAGGTCGGATGCCGGAGCAAAAGGTGGCTCCAATGAGGAAAGTGCGATGGGTGTGTCTTCCCACCCATCCAGTTGTTGTAGAATACGTCTTTGAGGGGTCTGCATTCACCTGAAAATATGTATACTCGCGTAAGATAGCGAAACGCTCGTGGGAAGCTCGAAAGTTCGGATTTCCAGAGCAAAATGTTCATGCGAGAACTTGTTTTGTTTAAGATTAAGAAACAGCGCTGGTATGATGGATATCGCGCTCGCATTGTAACCGTGAAATGCGGGCTAGAGTTCCGCCTGTGTCAAGAGTTCTGTCTGTATTTCGTCATTCTTGTGAAAGTTCATTTAAGAATTTCAGACTCCACAAACATCTAAAAAAGTGGAACCAAAGCAGGAGAAGAGGAAGGAAGCATCCAGTGACTCCGACTTCGAAGCTATCGAAGGAGAGCTTGATCGTGATATTAAAGAAAGGGATGAATTGGCTGCCAGGATACGGAAAAGAGAAAAGGAAAAGACTCGCAATGTGCTTGAGCAGAAAAGGAAGATTCCAGACAACAAGGTAGGCCTGTCTTTCAGTTTCCCTAACAGGTTCCTTTTTACTTCTGCGGTTTTTTGACGATGCCTACTGTGGCTTAGTTAATTAGTCTTCTATGAGTAGTATTTCGAAGTTAGATGAAAGCTCCCACATGGTGTGCCTGACTCTAGGAATTTCGCTTGTTCTTCTCACGCATTTTTTCCCGATTTTCAGTCTTTGCAGGACAAGGAGTCGTATTCAGTCGATAAGCTTCGAGAAGAGTCACGTCGGCAGTACCTAGCTAAAAGAAAGGACGACAAACTTGACGAATTGCGGAAGATTGTGCATGATGATGAAATTCTGTTCGCAAATGAAGAGTGAGTTTGTTCAGTATCATTTTGTAAGGACATCATTTGAAGACTGCTCCTTTAGTCTGACCGAACGTGAACGAAAGGATATGGAATATCGCAAGAAAGTATTGGAGTATGCGGAACAGCATGAGAAAGCCGCTGACATCATGAAAACCAAACGATATTATGTGCCTGACGCAAAAGTCAAGTCGATTCCTACAGAATATGTTGAGGAAGCGGAAGAAGTTCGTCATGGAGGTATGTATTGCGTTTCTAATAACTTCGTCAGTTGTGAGAGTCACAGCTCGTTTGTTGTTTTGGTAGACGTTTGGCAGTAGTCCATATAGGTCCGCAGTCCAGCAAGTTATGTGCTAGAGGCATGTCGTATCTCATAAAAAAATTCTTTGACGTTGGAAGAAAAGGAGCTCAGGGTGAAATGTAGAAATCCCTCCCGACCTAGGAAATTGGTTCGCCCACACTGAAGCTGGTTTCCCGCAGGCTTTGCCAGAAATCCTCATCCTTCAGCCCTAAACGTTTGACATGACAAAATTCAAAGTAATTTTCCGCAATACGCGATTCTGTTTTCATTGACGGGCCATGAAACCTAAGCCGACGTCGTGACATAACATTAACGTATTGGGTTGCAGATCTGTACTGAAATCAGGGCACGTCCTGGGAGAATTCCCCAAAATACAACCTCTCCTAATTTCCTCTTCTGGTACGATACACTTTCCCTTCCCCATCCTACCTACCACTTCCCTAAGCGCTTTCAATTTCCTACCATTTGTTTCCCCAAATTTGCCCAATTTCTCCCATACTATTCGGTTTCCTGAAATGCCCTTACTGAAATAGAGCTCAACTTTGAAACGATCTCGTCAGTTGCTGTCAAACCTTTCCGCTGCATTACCTCGAGCGGTATTCTATATTGTTCCTCGATTGCCGACACGACAGCGACTAAAGTGGTGACTTACAGGTGACGGCGCCAAGTGGGAACATGAGCAACTTTTGGCGAGTATGCTGCATTATGGTGCGAAGGACGCGAAATCTGTTAGTTTACCTAATGAGCCATACTGATATCCCAGGAAAGCAGCAGTTCTTTTCAGAAACAAGAAGAGTTCGAGTTGCTACTCGACGACAAGATCGACTTTATTCAAGCTCTCCAAATGCCTGGTACTTTGGATGAGAAGGTATGTGAGCTCTTTCAAGTGTAGTTTGCCGAATGGTTCATGTTATTCCTGCTCGTGATCTCAGGAGGAGGAGATAACCGCTGCCCAGAAGAGAAAGATGACGATAGAGGAAACGCGGAAGTCGCTGCCAGTGTATGCATTCCGTGATCAGTTTATTGAAGCTGTCAAGGAACACCAGGTACCGTCCAAGGAAATGCATTGGTAATGAGTTTGGCCGAGTTTCTAAACAAATGTCTTTTTTCTGGCGATTTTCGCTCTGTATTGGCTGTGTGTGCCCTGCTGATCCGAAAGGTGGTGACAGGGCATCTGTCAAACTAAATTTCTTCCGCTGCGAAAGTTGGAAAGGTCGTGGCGTGGAATGGCAAATCCTCTGAGAGGTGCTAAAGAAGAAAAAAAGCGAAGAAAGAGGGAAGGGACCAAGTAAACGTCTGGGTTGACCACCGACCCAACCTTCATATGATCAAGCCTTAGGCGTGGCGAGCGACGCCGCGCGCGCTGTAGACGAGGTGTCTAGCCATGTCGTTGCAGTTTTAATCGTAGAGAGACGGAAATGGTTTACATACCTTGGCGAGGCCAGTCTTGCCCCTCTCTCTCAGCGCGGAAAACGTCCGAGATGCGCGAGCGGCGAGCTTCACGTTACCGCTCTCACCTTGTCCTCTCACGACTAAAGACGGAGGGAAAGGGGAGCGCTTCCGAGTGTAGCTCGGAAAGCACCACTCGTGTCCCCCTTTTTCACGGTTCTGAGTACCATCCACAGGGAGATGCCTCGGTTTCAGGCACACCGACGCTCTACACCAGCCAGCCTACCCCAGTACCTTACGCAGGGCTGTAAGTCGCTGAATTTGTCCCGTATCTCCTCTTGTGTTTTGTTCAAGTTACGCTCTATTAAGGGTATTTCTGCAAAAGATGGAAAAAAATCGGTGTCACACCCAGCCACGTCCGTTTTGCTTGCAAGGTCGGTGAGCACGGCAAGAGTCGGCCTGCAGGGAAGTCGGGCTGCTAAAACTGGGCAGCAATGTCCTGTGCTAATTTGTTGTTAAATGCAGATTCGCTGAGTAAACGCTAACAAGTTTAGGTTGTTACAGTATTCGATTTGAAGAGGTACTTCAGAGAAACCGTTTTGAATATATGGACGGCGAGTGGATGTTGTTACGTTGAATTTCCTGACACCTACACCGCGATCCTCGCCTAGCTACCAGGTACTGGTTCTTCTTTTTCAATGATTCACCGAGGCTAGCAAAGGCATCTAGTCGAGGTATTCTCAGTGGCGTTTTTTTCGTTCTAAAATCTGGGCTGTCTCATGGACACATTTTTTTACCCGCATGTGTCGTGTAGTATTTTCGGATATTATATTGTAACATCAACTGATAGTTTTTCGTAATTACGCCGTCCTACTCACGTTATCCAATCAATTAGCATTCTTTGACTCTCAGTCTTTATTCGCTTTCTGAAAACTTATAACTTATAGAGCTTGCCTGCAATTTGATTTTCTTTCCTTCCTAACCTGGAAAAGACTGGAAGAGAAGAATATGCTGTGCTCGGCTTCCGTCTAAGGGCACGTGCGAAACGGAAGGCTGTGCTATCTCTTTGCTTTCGACCCCCTCAATAATTCTCATTTATTAGATTTTACAACATAGTTCATTAATCTGTTTCAAGATTTTATTTGTAATTCGTGGTTTGTAGTCGCTGGCCTAAAGACACATTGTACGAGTATTTGTGTGAGAGGGGTGGGTCTACGGTAGTAAAGGCGTAGCATTTCAGCCACTTAAGAACGTTAGACAATAAATATAAAGGGTCATCGTGGCTTAATGTTCCTTTTGTCTCCGCCCACTACTTAATAGGTGATACACACGCCACAGTCACGCCAATGGTCAAGTTTTTTCGGCCAGTCATACGTGGGATCGTAACCAGGTAGTTGGTGACTATCATTAGACCTATGAGGAACCGCGTGGCGTAGCTGCGGCGTGCCTGGCGTATGTAAAATCGAAGGCCTGTCCTCCTAGACATGGTAGAGGCACCTCTCAAACAACTGAACAGTGTCTTTAAGTCCCTTTGCTATCACATTAGTTATTATAATTTCATTTTAGTGTTATGATGATTGATGAAGCCCACGAAAGGACTTTGCACACAGACATCCTTTTTGGTCTTGTTAAGGATATAGCACGGTTCAGAAAGGTAATTTTCTGAAATTGATTTTTTTCTGTGTTCAAAGTAAACTTTGTTGTTTTAGGATCTGAAACTCTTGATCTCTTCGGCTACCCTTGATGCGGAAAAGTTTTCAACGTTCTTCGACGATGCTCCCATTTTCCGAATCCCTGGTAGAAGGTGTGTTTGCTCTTCCCGGAAATCTATTTCAGTTGCTGCCTTTGCGAAGCTAGAACATAATGGTCTGCAGTTCAGGTTTCCCGTTGACATCTACTATACACAAGCTCCAGAAGCCGACTACATGGATGCTGTTATGGTTACGGTCATGCAAATCCATCTCACTCAACCTTTGCCTGGCGACATTCTTGTGTTTTTGACAGGTTCGGTGCCATAACCGCTGTAGTGTCCTTTTTTGCCGAGTTTTAGTCCCTGGAAGTTCTGCATTATGGTCATCAATACATTGGCCCATGGGAAAGATAACAGTTCTTTGTTGGCCAGTGTTAGAGGTATATTCTTGTTCGCTGTTGATGCTGCAGCCTGTAAAGGGTGG